AACCTACTGACAGCCTATACGTTCCCGTCTTCATGCTCGCCGTAAGGTCGAAACACTTAATAGCCATTCTTACGACATGCAATAACTACATGTTTGTCGTACATGTTTTTATACTGTTTCTATGTCAATCTATTGATTGATCGAGGCGCATTACTGTCATGACGACAGATTTACGATTTGAGTATCAGATTGTTGTAACGTTCTCTTTCTCTCTCTCTCTTTTTTAGAATTCCATATTTCAATTTCAAACTTTTTTGACCGGATAAAATTTGTAGGAACGTTGAAATAAATGATGTTAGAATATGGCCAAGTTAATTCAAGAGATGTAACAGTAGAATAATTCCTTGTAATAAGATACTACCACACCCAGTCTCACAGCTTGATTAACACTTGCTCCTCGAGTAGAGATGCGGTTTCGTATACGCGCTAATATTTATTATGAGACCAGTGAACCGGCAGGAAGTTTACAATATTTTAGAATCTCTAAGCCTGAAAATATTCTCTAAAAATATTCGAATTTTTTGAAGATATTATCGCTTATTACACGCGGATCTCGATATCTTCGTGATATCGAAGTAGTAAACGGGACACGACGACACGTCATCTGTCGTTTCCGTCGTTTTAATCTTAATTAAAACAGCTGGAACAATTTACTGGATGCTTTCGCTTTTGCAGATGCAGTCTATCCTATATCACAACAGTTCCGGGGCGCAAGCGTTCACCGGAAATTTGAAGAAAAAAGAAGTTCACCGTGCTATTACGTTGCATCCTGTTAAAAATCCGCCGCACATGTACAGATTGCACAATTACATGAGGGTTGGTATCGGGCTAATGTTACCTCGTAATCGTTTCCTCTTGCCTTCAGTTTGCAAAAAGCTTTTCCTCTCTTTCGTTTTTTCCAGGGGCTTAAGATTCAAGATCTGCAACAAGAGAGACTCAATCTTCACAGGGATATCTACACCATGGCGAAGCAATTGGGGATCAGCGTGGAGAATCTGAAGAATTACGAGATAGCCGATCGTGTCCCGCTGTTTCCAGTCAAACCATATTCGAAACTGTATCCCGGTGACACCGAAATATTGGGTAAATGGGTTATATTTGCCAAGAATTTCGAGGTCGTAAAATTAACACGGGGAATGGGTGGGTGGGTTAAACGATTTCGTCATTGAGATAAACTCGATCCTCGAAATCTCGCGCGTGCTTTTCGAAGCTACGGAATATTTGACGAGGCGAGCGTGAATCATTGATTTCAAGAACAATCGCGTTTCCCTGGATGTGCGTTATTAATAGAGCCATTTAGACCGATTAGCCCATGCGAATTGATCGTCGGGCATACGTGGCGGAGCAGATGCGAGCCACGACACGATTCGTTTGAGCCCATCACACGGAACGATCGGCACTTCGATCGTGACTCTACTAATTTTCATCTCTTCTGCGCTTTGTATTCACGCCTAATTCACGAGTACGCATAAATTTTACATAATAATACGATTTTAAATATATCGATGGATTCGAGAGATAAATTATTTTATGATACACGATACGACGAATAATCTTATTATTCCGCATAATTATCGGTATAAATTTTTACAAGAGAGAGAGAGAGAGAAAAAAAAAGGAATCTGTCGCTTTTCGTTGCATTTTTTATTACATAATATTTTTCTTTCAGGTGTTTCGGCAGGACTTCGTTCGTTCAAACCGACGACAAGCGACGAAGTAATTCCTTGGGATTTCTTGTCGAGATCCGAGTACAGCTTGGGGGATTCGAATCCCAGAAGAAGAATTCACAGTGACATAAAAGAAGGTTTGGAGGACATTACGAGAGAAGTGATGGCTTCCATAAATGCCTGTTCACGACAGCGTGGTCGAGTAGTGGAGGAAAGGTCGACTCTTTACGGGTACAGAAGAGTAGATTCCTACGGCGCTGACACGATACTGGATCTTCTTCTCGTGTATCGAAAGTACAGAGGTAGAAAGGTTACGCTACCTGTTAGGAGGCACGTGTATCTTCATCAGCATTTTACAGGTAGCCTACTAGAAGCCTGAGAAATTTTCTTTGCTTTTAGAAAACATTGATGAAATAAAAAGCGAAACGAATGAGACAGCGACATTGAAAAATATTGTTTTTTTTCTTTCTTTCTTTTTCAAGGAGTGGAAATACGAGAAACGGTGGACGGGATGGAAGTTGACGAGACGCAAAAAAATCGAGAAAGTGACAAGTCTTTGCAAAATATATTCCGCGGTGGTTTCTTAAATTTGAATTTCAACTTCGAGGAAGTGGATCCGGTCAAGGATAAGATCATTCATTTTATTCTACCATTATCCGGAAGATACGAGATTTTTCGAAGGTTCCTGCAAAATTACGAAGAAATCTGTCTAACGAGTGGAGAGAGGACTGCGCTGTTGGTCATGCTCTATCATCATGGAACGGAAAACTCGTTCAATCGAACGATAGATTTGGTGGAACGATTGAAATATAAGTATCGTAGCGCCAGTATTGATATTATTCCTATTTCTGGTACATTTTCCAGAGCCAAGGCTCTTAATCACGGTGTATCGAGATTGAAGAACAACGATTTAATGCTCTTCATCGACGTCGATATAGCATTTACCGAGTCGGCTCTCTACAGAATTCGCGTCAATACTCTTTTAGGTAGACAAATATATTTCCCGGTGGTATTCAGTCAATATGATCCAAAGATCGTTTATGGAGACACCAAAAGTCCAGACACGTTCGCCGTAAACGAAATGGCGGGATATTGGAGGCAATTTGGATTCGGTATTGTCTCTTTGTACAAACAGGATTACAAAGACGTGGGCGGTTTCAATCTGTCCATTCAAGGATGGGGCAAGGAGGACGTAGATTTCTACGAAAAAGTAATCAAGTCGAGTATCAAGATCTTTAGAGCGGCTGACAAAGATTTGGTTCACGTTTATCACGATGTTGAGTGCAGTAAAGATCTGTCAGAGACGCAATGGTCCATGTGTATGGGAACCAAGGCTGACACCTTGGCTGGAACAGAGACACTGGCCCAAATGATTTACGAAAATCCGGAAATATTACAATATGCCAAAGCCAGACGGGCTAATTTAACGCGTACAGCGGGTTGAATGAACGATCTTTAAAATAACTACCTTATCTCGGTCGATAAGATAGAAAATCATGATTCTAATCATGCGATGTCGGAACATTTCGTAGATAGAATATTTTGTATATACACGGTGTAATTAACGGACTGAAACGTACATTGAATATTTAATGCCGATCGCGAATTCACCAAAGTTTTTCCTCTAATAAGATTATCATAATGATCAAGTTGAACTGTGTGTTGTGTCGATAAAACAGATCTTGTAAACTTTAATAAAATAACGAAGATATATTTAACGAAAGAAGTATCGAATACTTTGATCATCGTTTATCTTTTTATGTATAAATATATACTTTAAATATTAGAAATTATTAATGATATACAGAATATTGATGAGGATCGAGGAAAAAAGAAAAAAAAATTTCATGACACATTGATATTTTGTATATATCAACTATTAAATCTTGGCATTATTTACGTTATAAATGTGATGTATCGCTTTTTTGGTTGCTATTAGTTTATTACGCTGAATATTTTTCATTTAAGCTCGGAAGAGTATACTAGTATTTTTTTTTATAAATCAATACTATATATTCCATCATAATAAATTTATTTGTATTATAATATTAAAAAAAAAAAAGCGAAGAATTTATAAAAAGTTGTTATTAGTTCCGCACGAAAGTGAATAATTTCGTGACTAAATAACTTAAAACAATTTAAGATGCCAATACTCCTAAAAAAAACGTAGCGTTACGTTATCGAACAAATTTTGTAAGTAAATGTGATATTATTGTGCCTTGTGTATAAACTTTAATTTGTGAATTTTACGTATACTGCCTATTTTATTTTATTTCTTTATCTACACCGCAAACAGTATCGTACAATTTCTAGCAATGCGAGTTTTGTTACTTGCATAATCATTTATACAATTCGTTAAGATCGCTTCGACGTTTTATCGAAATAAAATTTCTTTATTAAATAATTTTTGTTACGTCAATTTTGTTATTACCTTATTGAAAAAAAAAAAAAAGAAGTTTGAAAATATAAATTGTTCTTCTATATATTATCAATTTATCGCTTCGAAATTTCCTTTTCTCTTTATTCGATCCTACATTTCCATTCCCCGAGGAAAATATCTCAGACGCTACCCATATTTTTCCTCGGTTAGAAAGTATCTTCAACTTATAAGGTTCCGCTCAAGGTCTTTTTAAGGATCGTGATGAAATTTTCTCGTTAGTTGAAGATAGCAATTAACCGATATCTTGTGAATCTTTTCCCAATATAACTAGTTCCTCGTTTCCTGATAAATATCCTCTTTAGAAAATGGTTAATTCCTCATTTTAGAACTATTTGTTTGTACAATTTTCAAAAGACATTCAATCTCTTGAATAAATATTATCTCATCTTTTCAATTAACTTCGTATTTCGTTATAATCTGTTTTGATCGATAACGCTTTATATCATAGAGATGTAAATAAGATTCGCTTTATCTTCCTCTTCGATTACTCTTTGATTACTCTTCGAGTACAATTCATCTATATATAAAAAAAATTTTTTAATCTTACTAGATTGTTATAATTAGACTATTCTATATACATATAACTCGTTTGCAATTTCTATTATTAAAGCTATAAAAAATTAAAGGCATTGTTTCCTTTTAATTTTTGTAAATTAGTTAATTATAGAAGCAGAAATTAGAAGCTCGAATATTACAAAAAATAACAATTATTCGTAATCCATGTTCAATCTTATCAGCACTTCTCAATCACTGTCATAAAAAAAGTTTTAAAACAAGTAACGAGTAAAAAACCAATTTATCATCAAGAAAAAGATCAAATTGATTGGAAATTTATCGAGTCAACCTGTCTCGAAGACGAGTGGCGCCAAATTACCTATAAAAGAACAAAGACACGAGACAACAGACATTATTTCCGGCCACGCAGTGCCTAGGAAATTATAATTTATCAGTCAAGCTCAATGACGTCGTGCATGGTTTGTACGACACACAGTATGACACAAACGGCGAAGTAAGTCGCGTGATATTTAAGTGCGAATCTTTATTACGGTACAATTGCATGAGATAAAATTGGAACATCATTCGACCCTGGTTCGATCAATAATAACGATTAATCTCAAAGGAAAGGAAAGATGATCAAACTGATCTTAATTCTGTCCGTTCTGGCTGTTCTGGTCGACAACCACGTGGAGGCGAGGATTCTGACTCAATGCGAAGCTGTGCAAGAGCTTCAAAAAGCTCAAATCCCGAGAACCTATATCAGCAACTGGGTCTGCTTGATGCAGAGCGAGAGCGGAATGAACACACGGTTGATCACTGGTCCAAAAACAGCCTCGAGCTATAGTTTCGGAATCTTCCAGATCAACAGCGCGAAATGGTGTTCCAGGGGGCACAGTGGAGGAAAATGTAACAAACGTTGCGAAGATTTCGCGGACGACGATATCAGAGACGATATCGAATGCGCCAAGAAGATTCAGGCTATGGAAGGGTTCAAAGCGTGGGATGGTTGGATGAAGAAATGCAAAAACAAGCCATTGCCGAATATTGGAAATTGCAAACGACGAAAACGATGGCTGGAAATATTATGGGATTTGACGCAATAAGACTTGACGTTGTGTGGTTGTTGTCGATCATATTGAATTATCGGGTATCGTTATTATCGAATGTAAACACTATGATGTAAGATGATTGTTCGTATTGGTATATACCGCCATTATTCGATAATTAATTGTTCAATACAAATGAAAATATAATGCGTTTTTACATATCTATTATTTTCCCAATTCTTGTAAACTTAAAATATTATTTTACGAAATCAATGTTGAATGTTTACAATTTCACTGGTTACTCAACTCTTATCGACTCTTCTTAATATCATTTTTATGATAATATTAAAATGTTCATAGCGACAACAAAGTTCGCGAAACTATCTATCGATGTTTGTTATAGCCCAACGATTAGATACTTTCGAAGCTAATATTATCTTGAATAATTAACCTCTCGTGTCAGTTTGAAAGACTTTAGAGGGCAATAACTAATCTAACAAGTCGTATAGACGAACATAAAAATATTGCATGCCTCTTACCGATGGATAATTCTGTCTTGAACGTGTTGAAAGGTACAATTCAAATCAATTTCAAGTTAATTAAACGTATTCACCGAGGAATAACCGGCGAAAATAAAAATGTGTAGAAAAACAAAGGCATTCATTGTCGAACGTTTCGTTTCGTTCCGTTTGAGAGGACGACAATTAGAAAATTACAATTTATCGTGCAATTGCGATGCGATTGCATACATAGTTCGATCGAGTATAACATAACAAGCGAGGCAAGCCGTGTCTATCACTTACGACGAATCCTCGTCACGGTGCATACAGTAGCACGCGATAGTGTTTCGCGTCGAAATATCGTTCGATCTTATTATAGATCGATAACGGGTCGGCGTCGAGGAACAAACGAACAAGAAGATGAAACCGTGGCTGATATCGCTATTCCTCGTCGTTCTGGTCGATAGCCAGGTTATAGCCAAAATTCTGACGGAATGCGAAATCGTGCAACAGCTCCAACAAGCTAGAATCTCAAGGAGCGATATCAGCAGTTGGATCTGTTTGATGCAGAGCGAGAGTGGATTGAACACGAATTTGATAACCGGGCCGAAGACGGCCTCCAGTTATAGTTACGGGATCTTCCAAATTAACAGCGCCAAATGGTGTTCCAGGGGACATAGTGGAGGCATTTGCAGAAAACGTTGCGAGGATTTCGCGAACGACGATATCAGAGACGATATCGTGTGCGCTAAGAAGATTCAAAGTTTGGAAGGGTTCAAGGCGTGGGATGGTTGGGTGAAGAATTGCAAAAAAAAGCCTTTGCCAAATATACAGAAATGCTCACGATGATGACGAGCATACCTTTCGAAGCCCTATCGAAGCAAGTACCGTAAAATGAGGTAAATAGAAATATTTTTGCGAAACAAATTTTGGAGAAATCTCTTAGTCTAGATTTATTTTTCTTTCTTTTTTTTTAAGAAAGAAAAATTTTTTTAATTTAAGAAGGGAAAATTATAAAGTATCTTAATTAAAATGATATATTACATTTTCAGGTGGATTTTCCAAAAACATGGTAAAATAATTAGTAATTAAACATTGGATCTCGCTTGACTTTTCATACATCGATTCAACGAAATTTTATTATGTTTTTTCTCGAAGAAAAAAATTGTTTACGTAATTTTGATTTTTAAAACCTATTACTTTTAATGATAATCCTGATATATTCTGATTACAAGTGATTCATTACCTGTTTTATCGATATTGAAAAAAAAAAAAAGAAATTCTTTATTAGTCTTCCACTCCTTTTCTTTTTCACCGATCTTGTTGATTTTAATATACAAAATACAATTTTGTTTACTCCGGAAATCGTATTGATCCTCGATAAAATTACATGTACAGAGATAAGATGTTATTTATCAACGAATTATTTATTTTCATTTAAAATTTTCTTACTCATTCTGCTATTTTTATTCAATCCATTTTAAGGTACTGCGATGAGATTATGGGATCATTCGATTAATATTGTTATTTTTACACGTTATTCATTGTTGTTCAATAAAATAATTTAGAAATAATATTTGAATGTTTATAAATGAGAAAAAAAAATACATATTACACTACGTAATAGTGATATAACATATCTATGATTTATTAGACGTATCATTGATAACGTCTTAAAAATCACGTATCGATACGTCTATTTTTATATCATCTATTTCCACATATGATTCTATAAAAATTATTATGTATGAAATATATGATTTTATGCTCGTAACTTAAGTGTTAGTTTATCTAAATGATATATAAAATAGATTAAGTGTCAATTATTTCTTAATTATTACGATAGTTTCTTAATTACAACTAAACAGTGTGTGAGATTATCGTTTATATTTTTATAAAATATCGCTTTATCTATCGAAACGAGAAAAATTATTATTGCTGTCTGGAATATTTTTATCGAACGTTTCTCGGAAACCGACATAATCAGATAATGCAATGAGAATTTCCACAAACGTGTTGATGGATTTATCAAGTGAAATTATATAAGATTCTACAACATCAAACGCAGTAATCATTATCGTGCTCGTATGGATGGTCTCTATTAATTGGATAAAAAATCAAGAGATTGGTACTTTTGGTATTCACTCTACGAAGGTTTGTAAAAAAGTTACACAAGCAGACGATGTTTCCCAAATATGAATACAAATCGACTGGAATTAGGCCAATAAAATGATGCAAGAAATCGGCATCATCTTTAAACAAGCCGCTCCACTTGGCAGACCGAATCAGTCGAAATAAAATGGTTTAGAAATTCCGGCTATTAGAATTACAAAACGTATCGTGACAAGACTGAGCAATCTTCTTCCCGATTTCATTTTTATGCTCGGGGAAAGTATCGCGATGTACACTCTTTCAAAAAGAATGATTTTCATTTCGAGCGATATCAGACTGCAGGCCAAACGTCTCGATAACGGGCCAACTCTACTT